ATCCAACTGCCCCTGCTCCTTGTCCCCTGACTGTCCCCTCCAACGGATCCCCCACTCCCCCAACCGCCCCTGGGACCCCATTCCCCCATTCAACCCCCCCCTGCTCCCTGTCCCCTGACTGCCCCCCAGTACCCCACCCCTTATCCAACCTCCCTATCCCCTGACTGCCCTGCCCCCTAGCTACACCCCCTGACAGGCCCCCCGGGACTCCCACACCTATCCAACCCCCCGCACCATTCCCTGTCCCCTGACCGCCCCCCCCAGAACCTCTGCCCCATCCAACTGCCCCCTGCTCCCTGTCCCCTGACTGCCCTCCACTCCCCGCCCCCTTACCAGGCCGCTCAGAGCAGCAGGAGCTCACAGCCCCGCCGCCCGGCCAGAGCCAGCCGCGCTGCCTGACAGGAGTGGCGTGCCAGAACGCTGGCACGGCACGGCGAGCTGAGACTGCCGGGGAGAGGAGAGACAGCAGGGGAGGGGCTGGGGGCTAGCCCTCCCCAGTCGGGAGCTCAAGGGCCAGGCAGGACGGTCCCGTGGGCCGGATGTGGCCTGCGGGCCGTAGTTTGCCCACCTCTGCACCAGATGCTGCCTTCCCTTCATCCACCAATGTTCATCTGTCAAAAAAAAGCCATTTTGTTAGTGTTTGCTAGCTTAGCACCCAGAGACCTCAGGTGAGATTGGGGTCCTGTTGTGCCAGATGCTGTATATACTATAGTGAGACAGTCCAGGCCCCAAGAGCTTAGTCTGCATAGACACGACAAAGGGCAGGAAGGGAAACAGAGGCCCAGAGCAGCAATGACTTGCTCAAGGTCACACAGAGCTCATGACAGAGCCGGGAATAGAACTTGGCCATTTGTCTGGCAAGATCTATTATTTATAAAAACACTAACACTGCAGCTGAGCCGTAGCCGCATGTCTCTCTCCGGCTGCCTGTCTGTGCGTCGTCATACCCCTCTGCTTATCATGGTTTGTGTGTGAATGCATGTGTGTGCATATGCCTTCCTGCCTGTGCATGGTTCTACCCCTCTGTGTGCCTGTGTAATTGCACCTATCTGTGTGCTTACGGGTCTGTGGCTCTGCACACCTTCATTCACGCGTGCATGACCATTCAAGTCTGTGCCCCTGCTTGCGGCACCCAGTCTCTCCATGCATGTGTCTGTGAAGCTCCCACTGGAGGTCGGGGCCATATAACAGCTTTACCTTTTGCACGTGCACTAAGAACTGAACAGGCCACTCACAAAAGACAGTGAGAAGCTGTTTCCCTGGACACATCTGACTTGGGGGGGCAGGCATCCCTAAGTCAGCAACAGACCCCTCCTTGGGCATCAGTGTTACTGTGTCATTCACTTTGGGCTTTTCTCCCGTGTTGTGTGAATAGAAATATAATAAAGTGGTACTGAAACTGCATGTTGCAGTCTGGGACTATGCGCTGGATTCCTGCATGAGAGGGCTGAGCCCAGGGGCTGTTCGCTGTCAGCCACCTTCTGCACCAGCGTCAGGCTGAATCAGAAGCACGAGCTGCGATGATTTATGGCCCAGTCTAGCGGGCTGCAGTTTAATCTGGCAGCGGTTTCAAGTCGATAAGCATGATAAAGGAAAGCCTGAATAGGGCGTGAAGGCCCTGTTGACAGACCTGGCTCCCGTCTCCCTCAAACACACAGGCTTGTTACCCCCCACATGCTCCCTCCCCCTTTCATCTGTGTACATGCCCTCCTTCATGTAATGCAGACCTGTGTATACTGGGGTTCAGTGCCATTAACCTGGGCACACGCTACATGCACTTCATCCATAGCACCTTTCCCTGGTCCTCAAGGGAGCTCACAAGAACAATGCAAAGCAGCCCGTGCTCTTATATGTGATGGTAACTGTTCTATTTATACAGAAACCCTCATGGTTTTTGTATAAATAGGGTTTTCACCAAGAAGGTTCGTGGTGATTGGACGTCCAACATAGTGAATGTCAGTGAAAATTTGGTAGAATCAGAAGCTAAAAGAGGAAAAGAATAGGTTAAAAATTACTTAGACACGGTAGATGTCTTCAGGTAGGGTGACTAGATGAGAGACATGAAATATCAGGACACGGGCAGGGAGGGGGGTGCCGCTGGCAGAGCACCAAAAAAACGAGAGCCGGCGGTGGAGACAAAAAAAAAAAAAAAAAAAGAGCCGAAGCATAGGAAAAATTGGTGGGGTCTGAGCCCCCCCCGGCAGCCCCCCGCCATGCCCCCCACCGCACCAGCTTACCTCTGCCCCCCCTGAGTGGGCTGCCACATCTT